CCAGCACCGGCTCTCCCGCTTGTCGACGGAGGGTGCTTGCCCCAGCTGGCCGTCCCAGGAGCGGGGACCCCTCGGCAGCGCCTGCCCAGCCGCCCCGGCCGCGGCCTTGCTGCTTCAGTAGCTTCCACCTCCGCTGCTCCGTGAGCCGGTTAATTTACGTAGTTTCTGCGGAAAGGAAGCACGCAGCGCTTCTGAACTGGTGTCATCGTACCACTAGTGGAGAGAGGGGTTGTGTGCTGCACTCTTAAAAGGTTATGTAGAAAGACTGAATGTTGTTTGTGCATTAACTATGGTGCTTACTCGAGCTGAAGATGCCTGACTGTTGGGAGTCATAGAGCCACTGGGGAGATGAGTGATAAAATACGACCTGACACGCGGAAAAATCGAAGGACCCATCAGGCGAGGATGATGTTGATGCCAGTCTGACGGTCAGCAGTGTGTGTTTAGTCCTGCTGTTCAGGATGAATAGGAAGAAAGGAGACAAAGGATTTGAGAGCCCAAGACCATATAAATTATAAGTATCCACTTTTTTTTTAAAGTTGCTGTGCTTGAGAGCAGTGCACGTTTGAAACAGGCCCCAGGCTGATCAGTAATTACTTACCTGAGAAGGTTGGAACTCTTGCGTATGGTGTAGCTTGCACTTAGAAAATGTGTGTTGTAGGTGTATTTATTTATTTATATTTTTTATAAATGGACTCACTCATGGACAGTGAGTGTGTCAACCATGTAGTCTCATCTTGCAAAGATATTTACATTGTGCTCTTCAAACCTTGGAGATCTCTCCACACAATGTCAGCACTACAGACCATGCTACCATGTTTCATTCTTACTGCTGTGTTAAACCCTTATGTCTTAAGGGCTTTTTTATACATATAAAAAAATCCTTGCATTTGCAGCAAGTAGCATTGTTAAGCAAATTGTCACTTTTACAGTCATTATTTTGGTTGTAACCAAGCTGTAAAGCAGTTGGTTGTAGATTTCCGTGGATCTTTATGTATTTCTGTTTATAGCTTCTTGATTCCTTTATAAATCTGTAACATAAATGTATTTCTAAATAGAATCACTCTTGTAGTCTTATACATTTTAATGTGTAGGTAATGGTTGAATCCATCGTTGGATACTAGATGTTACAATTTTCTTGTAGGAATTTTTATTGAACTTGCTCAACCGAAGCAAATTCACTTTATTGCACAGGGTACATGAGTATGTGCATATAATTTGTGATGTGGCATGAAAGTTGAATTATTACAAGCTTGTCTCTTTAGTCATGGATATCACTACTGTGAAGTTTGGTGAAGATGCCATCTACCACAGAAGAAAATAGCAATAACTTATAAAGTTTTTAAAAAGTTGGAATTACTATTTTATGTTCCATTTTTTAAATCAGGTTTTTATTTACCAGGAGTTTTAATATGTCATTCAAGATATAAGCAACTGCATTTGACTTGTTTAAAATACCTATCTGGATTAATTAACCATTATTTAAAGTAATAAATTCTAACGACATACAAATTGTAAAAGCACATACTATTACTTTTTTTATGTATAGTACCTGCTTACATAAATTATGTATGAGAGTCAACTCACTAGGTAAATTTTCCACAGGTCTCTGACTGCAAATAGTACAGCTGCATGCCATTTCTAATACTGCACATCACTGAAGTATTAGAACTTGGTTTTATGCCATTAGTAATACTATATTTTTATGTACTGTTATGTGATGCTCAAAAGCAATGTTGTTATTTTCCTGTATTACTAGTGATATTCATACTGGTGTGATACTATACTTGGGTTTTATTGGAACTTTTCTGACCTTGTGTGCAATTTTTATTCGTTATTTATTTTGGACCATGTAAGAGACTTAGACCATCATGAATTCTCCTTATATAAATATATGCTATAAGCAGTATTTATCTATGCATACATACATCATGTATGAATTCTTATTTTTTTAAAGCTGGGTTAAAATAATTTAAATGCTTGCATTATTTTATTGCTTTACTTATTTTAAATTATTATATTTTTTTTCCAGCACAACTCACCAAGTAGTTTGTATCAACAACATAAATTTTCAGAGAAAGTCTGTTGTAGTAAGTATTTTTTTAATAAAATGTGAAAGTAGAAATGAAAAGTCTGGGTTTTCTTCATGCTTTTAGAGTACACTGCACGTACAAGCTAATTATGTTCTTCATCTTCGTTATATTTTATACTTTGTAATCTGATGCCTCTCATAAGTCTGTCACTCCTTGAGATGCGTCAAATGAAATACCTTCTAATTGTGATTACTTTAATCTTTGTAAGTAAAAGCTTTCTACAAGAAGGTCACTGCATTGTAAATAGTATTACAAAGCAACTTGCACTTCAAAATGGAAATTCAACACAGTGTTAGCTGACGTTAGGGATAGGTTTATAGTTTTTTAGCTTATATGTGGGGTTTGAAGAGACTTTCACAATTTCAGGCCTGAGGTCATTGAGGCTTTTTATGAATTTAGATACCTACATAAATGGATTCTGCTTAGGTTTTAAAAATCATTGTCTCAAGTTCAGATACCAAAACTTAAAACACAGTGATAAAAATACAGTGATGCTAGTAACTTGAAATCTGGTCAATAGAGGCAGATTATTTCCACTAAAACAAGGATGATTGTCAGTGATTTTGAAATTTATTGTTTTGTTTTATTTCACAGCGGGGAAAATGCATGTTAAATGATATGAAAGAAAAAGTATCCTAGACATTTGAAAGGGCAAACCAATTACATTTTAAAATAAAAAATTAATATTTTTACCTACAATTTTCCTTTGAAATGCATTAATAAGAATTTTTTAATATATATCTACTTTGTGAATTGGTAAAGATTTTATAGAAGGTTTTGATTTGTGTTTTCATAGGGTTATGTGGAACTGACAATATTTCCCACTGTTGCAAACCTGAATAGAATCAAACTGAACAGTAAACAGTGCCGGATTTACAGAGTAAGAGTCAACGATTTAGAAGCAGCTTTCATCTACAATGATCCAACGCTGGAGGTTTGTCACCATGAGTCAAAACAGTAAGTGATGTGTTTAAAACTGCAGGTGTAGTGTCTTCCGTTGCTGTTAAGCATGACCCATTTTATTGTACTGGCAAGTTTGACCTGGTGGTTTCCTAATGGTAACATAAGTTTCATACAGAAACAACTATGGTGACTTAATTTGGGGAAAGTATTTTGGCAATAATTTTGAGTCTTATGCTAGTTGTCTTTAGAAATTCTTTTATAAACATGTCTTTGTTTTGTTTTTTTAGAAGTATCAGAAACTTTTTTAAAAGTACTTGGGGGGAGGGGGGGAAGTAGTGGATGCCAGTTGTGTTCTCAGTGTTTTAGGAAACTATCCTTCTCATGTGTTTTTTCCCTGGTAAGAAAATGTCTTTGGCTAAAATGTTTTAGCTTTGATGGACTTAAAGGTTTATCTATGCCCAACCTTTATGCTCATTTAATTAAAGAAAATTTGGTTACATTATTGTGGCAATAGCATTTTATTTATATTGTAGAGAACATTTTACAGGGTTGCAACTACATTCATATGAGAGTTCCACATGAGAGGATTGCCTTCAGTTTGACGTTTTGTGGGGGTTTTTTTTGTGGTTTCTTGTTTGTTTTTTACTCCATAGCATAGTTGGGTAAATCAGTTTGGTTGCATCAGTATAATATGTAGACAAAAACTATTATGGTAATTTCTCCTACAAAAATTGTCCTGATTTTGATGATTTTTAGTGTCAGATTGGATGATCATTTTTGTTCCTTCCTATTTTTAAACCTAAGAATATTCATATGGTATCAAAGTTCTTGGGAATATTTCCCATTTTCCTAGTAAGATTTTGTAAGAATAGTATCTGATTTTATTAAAAATGTCTAGATAGCCTTATATAGAATTAGCTTATTACTTTGAAAAAAGTAGCATGCCCCATCCCTGGAAACATTCAAGGTCAGACTGGATGGGGCTCTGAGCAAGCTGGTCTAGTTGAAGATGTCCCTGCTTTTTGCAGAGGCGTTGGACTAGGTGGCCTTTAAAAGTCCCTTGCAACCCAAACTGTTGTATGATTCTAATAGGAATAAGGCAAATCATGTGCCTGTATCTGGTTAACTATTAGACTACTAAATAAAGATGCTTATTGCTGTTCTTCAGCTATTTGTTGTGTCCCTTTCGACAGTGATTGCTCTGAGAGATTTGCTAGCTGAGCTTTAGAGGTGATATCACCTTGGTTAACTCATACAACTGATGAAGGCAGATAGGAACTAGCTAGGCTTATTCCCAAGCAAACTGCAGAGGGTTCATACAGTCCTGCTAGTTAGACTTGTGAGAATAGTGTCATTCTCAAATGATACCACTAGATCTATAAGAGGTTGTCTACCCATTGGCTTAATGACTAGAGCCTTTGAAATGTTTCTTAGCCCATCTCACTTTTCAGGTTAAACCTGACTTAACTTCTGTGATTGTTGTCTGAAAACTACAATATTGAAGAGAACTTCTGTTATTCAGTTACTGAGATTCACGTACTACTTTTTATCCTAAGTTATGTGGCCTTGGATTTGAACTGTTTATGGCAGGGACTCTATATTCCTTTGTTCATCACTAACACAAGAGTTTCAGTAATTCAATTTGCAAATACAATGTTAATTTATATAGGACACTGAATTGGATATCAGAGTTCTGAAGTTCTGTTTGAGTCCTGATACCAAACCACTTGAGTCTATTAATTCTGTAATTTCTGTCTGTTTTGTGACTTGATTTTGTTGTTGCTGCTGCTGCTGCTGTTGCTTGGTAAGTCCAAAATTCAGGGCCCTCATCGGGGAGATTCTAATTGTTCCGAAGAGCTAGAAAGTAAAACTTTTGGTCTTTCCTAAGGAATCAAACTTTCATTATTTATTAGCATTGTAAATTAGGGTATAAGTCCTAGAATGTTACCTAAATTCACTTTGAAATTTGAAAGGAAGATTTTCACATTTATTCACCATCTGATACTGAAGAGCAAGTTTAAAAACATGTAGCTTCCTACATGTTTTTGGGGAAATGATAAGGGAAGAGACTTTGGTAAAAATCTCCTATCTGTTTTTTGGTAAGAGAGTGCCACTGGCAAATGTTTTCACTAAGTATTCTCTTGCTTTTACTGAAATTTATATTCATGTTTTCACACCTTCTTTTGGCTGGCTTGGTTGAATTTACAGTTTGCTGGATTGTTAAAGAACTTCTAATGAAAGTGCTATACATGTTTGACAGTGGCTGATACGAACTCTCAGAGTCCTTTTAGTTGAAAAGGACCTATTGAGATCACTTGGTCCAACCCCACTGCTCAAGCAGGGTCAGCTAGAGCAGGTTGCACAGTGCTCTGTCCAGCTGGGTTTTGAGTATCTCCAAGGATGGAAAGTGCAATTTTCCTGGTTAACCTGCTCCAGTGTTTCACCCTCACAGTAGAAAAGCATTTTCTTGTATTCAGATGGAATTTCATGTATTTTAACGTGTGTCCACTGGCAGGGCCAGAGGCAACAGACACGAACTGAAACACGGGAGGTTCCCTCTGAACTTCAGGAAACACTTTTTTTACTGTGAGGGTGATTGAGCACTGGGACAGTTTGCAGAGGGAGGTTGTGGAGTTTCCGTCCTTGGAGATACTCAGAAGCTGTCTAGACATGGTCCTGTGTAACCAACTCTAGGTGGCCCTGCTTCAGCAGATGGGCTGGACCAGATGACCTCCTGAGGTCCCTTCCAACCTCAAGTGTCCTGTGATTCTGTAATAACTGAGTCCTGCATAACTTTCAGAAGATGTGAGAAAGGAACAGCACTTAAAATTATTAGAGTGAACACTCAGTTATGTTAAGCAAGGGTTCAGGAGGGATAGCTCTATCATTTTATGGAGAAAGTGGATTTCTGTGTTTAGCGTCCTAGTGGTGTAGTGGAACATTATCCTTTTTTTCATTTTATCCTGTTTAAGAGCAATAAACGAAATTTGAGGACAATGCATACAAAGTAAGATCCTGATACACACAAGGCTACAGTGTGAGTAGCTATTCAGACTTAGTAGAAAGTCTCTGTATTTCGTAACTCCTGTGTTATTCATAGTTATGACAGAGGACACCAAATGTTCTTAACAAAAAACTAGCATGCCTCTATCTCAGAAGTCAAAGGCTACATGGGTTACAAAGTATTACATGAAATATGTATTTTTTCCATTGAAATACCTGGTCACAATTGGGTATCAAGCATGATGGTTGGTAAGTTTTGAGATTACAAACAGAAATATTAGAAATCTAAAAACTCTAGAATTAGTACGTCAAAAAAAACTTGTATGTGAGTTTCCTTTGCCCTTCTTTACAAAGAACTGTTTTTAGAAACAGCAGTGGTTTGTAGTAGTCTTTGTATTTAATCAGTCCTTGCTCTGCTGGTCATCTCTTCCAAGTTCTCGTTTGTTGTGGCATGTTTAGTGATGATGTCCTTTGTACCCTTGTTGCTGAACTAGGTGTATCAATTATTTTGAAGAGGACACAGGTTAGTCATGTTTTCTTTCTAGCATTAGAGGGATTGTTACCTTTTGGATGGTTTTCTTCAGTGGTCTATCGAAATAGTAAATGTGAAATTAAGATGGTTCTTGGCAACCTGTTTATTTAAAATAATTTGTTTTATATCTTTACTCTTTCCTGTGGTGTGTAGCAAATAAAAAATAAGTTCAAGTTGTAAGGTTTTATATATAAACATTTTCTTGCTTTTGATAATGCTTTTGGTTTTCTTAAATGTTGATTTCTAAAAGAATATATACAGTATGTAGAAAAAGTTCTTAATTTAATGGACTCGCTCCGAACTTTGATAAAAAAGTTAAAGTATTTTAAAGGCTTCTTAATCCCTTAGTTAGCAACAGAATTCAATTTAAATGGAAAATTCTGTATTTAAAGCACCTATAATTATTTCTTTGGGAAGACTTCCTACAGCATCCATGACTTGAGCTGTGTTTGCTGATATGAGGTGAATGTTGAGTGAAGTAGTTAATTGTTTGTTATGCAAATTTTGGCATGCAAGAAAACATCGTTAAAAGAGGGTTGAGAAAGTCAAGATTAAAGAGAGCTTCATCTATGAAACACAAGCAGCGCCATCTGAAATTGTTTGTCTTACCATGATGCTCTCTGCTACTTCTTGGGTGAGATCTTCTGTCAGATCAGGTCTTTGTATTTTGAATTTGAATATTCAACTTGCTTTCAGTTCAAGTAATGCTTTTGGGTTTTGTCATCTATTGATGCAAAAATCGTTGAGATGTGGTCTCTGTCATTTCACAGTGTTGCAGAAGGTGAAACAATTTTTTTTTTTTGTCTTGTGTATTGTCGCTTCTGCTGAATGACAAAATAACCCTCAATAAAAAGGTAATTAAAAATTGGTGATTTTTTTTTTAGGAAATGTTAGAAACCTTTAAGTAGTGTATTCAGTATATTTTCAGCTTTGGTACCACTGCCAGTTTATCTGTGAATCCCAAAGCATAATTTCAGGTAACAACTGAAAGAACTTTTACTAGAAGTAAAGTTGGTTTTCCATCTTGTAATTTCCTCCTGAGGCTTCAGAACATTGTAGCTTTTTCATATCAGAGTGGATGGATGAACTTACGTAATGCAGTCGCTTTGTCCCTGGCTGAACAAACATCTGAACGGTGTTGTAAAGTATAAAATAATTCCCGTAGTTTTACCATGTGTACACGAGGTGGCAGAGAATCCCATTTTGCTTATACTTCTAAGGAAGAGTTTGAAATCTTGCAAAAACTGAAAATAGTGTTGGAGAATGTCTAGAGAATGGTCCTGTCTTAGGGCTGTTATTGAGTGTTACACCCACCTCTGTCCTCCTCATCTTCCCTCTTTTCCTTGTAAATTGTTGCTTTCTCGATTTTATCAGTATAAGGGAAGTCGGATTTATTTTTCCAGGCTATAGTATGCAGAAATCCCACAGAGTGTATTCTGACTCCTGAGACAACTGCTTGTATCTCAGCCCCTTTTATGTTAAAACAGGCAAAGGAGATCAGTTTTCTTAATTCTGTGGGTAGGTTTGTAAAGTGTTAAATAGCCACAGCAAAAGTTTGGAGTTTTGATGCAGTGGTTTGATCTGTGATGAGTGAAGTTTATGATGATCCCGCAGTTACCTGGTTATGTGCTTCACATGTTTGTGTGATAACTATGGTGAAGGGTTGAGAAGCTATTGCATTTTATTATTATTTCAGTGTAAAGGAAGATATATTTTTGTATAGGTAGCTAACGTGTGCATAATGCTTTCCTATGCATATGTACACTCTTCAGTGTAATTTTAACCCTTGGCAGTGTATACCTGTTCATTCACTAGTTCAGCTTTTTCTTTTTTGTTTTTTCAACTTGAAGCCTATAGTTTTTAAACATTAAAAATATGAAGATGTTTGGATATCCTCACTGTCTCTTTAGTTACCATAAGTTGTGAGAGAGAGTAGCCTTCAGGGCATGTCTTGCAATATACTGTCTTCTGAGAAGTCAGAGATCAAGCCTTTAACCAATGCACAAAACAGAAAAAATACTGGTGGATGGAGCATGTGTTGTTTTGCTGCAATAACTAGCTTTCATTGCCACTGGTATGATGCTTATCTAGTTGTAAATTCATAATATACTTTGTTAGAAATAAACATAGGTATAGAGAACTTTTGAAGATAAAGATGGCAAAGGTCTTAACCTTGAGCAAGAATGAAAATTAGGTTTTTCAGTGTGCCAAAGACTCAGATTTTTGCCTTATTAATAAATTACTTATATGTGTACGTATTATAGATCTATAAAATGTTATATGTAACATACACTGTGTCATATATTTTGGGGTTGGACTCCAAGACCAAGTGCTAATTGTAGCTGGGAAGCAAAGTAGAATTGTAAATGAATTGCAGGTAATGAAGAGTAATGAATTACATGTGGCTCAAAGAATGTCCTTTGCCAAGTTGATGTTAAATAGTGTAGGATAGAAAGTGGTTTTATAGACTATATGTTTGGGCTGTGTAACTGTTAAGTAACACCACTGCAGCTAGTAGACATGCTATGGGAAGTTGACATGGAGGTTTTTGGAATCAGTGGGTAGCTTTAAAAAATAAGTCTCTGCAGGAGCGCTTGTTTCCAGTCAGTCAACAAGCATGCACTTAGTCTGTAATTAACAGCATTTTGGGTGAATTCTGATAATAAAATGTATCCCTACCAGGAAGAAACACAAATGCATATTACTTTGTCAATCTACACTCAGCATTACAAAAATGTATCTTTGTTCCTTGGGCTGTAACTTTCAGCATGTGCTCTGTTGTTGTTAAAATGACCATATCCAGTTTATTGAGAATAGTTCAACCTATGAAAAAATTAATCCATTGTACTAAGCCCCTAATGGATTCCTTTTACAATGAGTCACCCATTTGAATTGGAACACTTCAAAAAATAGAAATATCAGAATAGACTGTTTTCCATAAAATGTTAAGTCTACCTTTCTTGATATAAAATCATAACCTTTTCCTGTCTGTGAACCCATTGATGTTTAAAATGTAACCACAAGTTCACCACAGTCCTCAAACTTGGAAAAATTTCTCACTGATTTATTGGAAAGGGATCCCCTATCAGTAATGGTGAATTTTCAGAACCAGTTTAGATTAAAATTTAAGAGTTTGAGACTTTACAGTCTCTCAGAATGGTACTGTTGTTTTCTGTTGCTAGTTTCTTTAATTACAAAGATAGTTTTTAGTCATGCAGTTGTCTTTTAAAGAGAGTTTTTCCAGTGGTATTCTTTGCCTTCTGAGGATGCCATTTGAAGACAGCTTAAAGCAACATCAGTTTGGGTGGTTATGATTTCACTGACAGTCTCCCATGCCTTAGTAGTAGCACTTCCTTGACCCCTCAGTGTGTTAAATCAGGGAGCTAAACCCACTGAATTGTGTCTGGGGGGAAAAAAAAAAAACTTTTTTTTTTCCATTTGTCACTTTTGCTGCATCACTGCAGGATTGGATCAACAGTAGTCTCCTTAATAAGTGAGGGAGCAGGAATGTGTGGCTGAGACTAGCAGACAGCACATCAGCTGGAGTTCAAACTGGTTTGAATTGTTCTGGAATCAGAGCTGAAGTTATAGTATATTCCAGTGTACGAATTTAACCTCGTGCTTCTAAAACTTTTTGGCATTGTATCCTATCTTTAGGTACACTCCAGCTATGAAAAAGGAAAAAGTGATTATGTATTAAAACTTGGGATTTCTATGCTCATGTGCTCCCATTTACTATTCACGTCCTATTTTCAGAAGCTTCCAAGCAAAGTAGACAAGTTTACTGCTCCTAACATTCTCAGTCTTGGTAACGGTGCCAGGGAATTTGTGCACTATTATTGCCAAAGATCAAGAACTGTATGAAAATATGTTCTCAATATATGTCAGTGTTTAGCAAAGTTTTTTAGATGTGGAAGGCTAGGAATATAAGCATGGTGTTTGACATACCTAGACTTGTAGCATCATCCTGGCATGGGTAATTACCCTTCATTCTTCCAAATAAGGTACTGTAGTTTGGGTTGAATGCTGTTTTCTCTGTGGGTGGTGAATAGATGAATGGTTAGATGAAAGTAAAATCCTGAAATGAGATCATGTCTGCTTTGTGTGGACTTCAGATTCCATGGAAGAGTGGAATCCACAGCTAAAAGTTAAGTTACTCAACTGTGGTGAAGTAACGCTGCAGATAGCTTTATGCTTAATTGCAACTTTGCCACCACAGTGGTTGGATTGATCAGTGGTACACATCTAAATGCTTGATATTCTGGAAAGAAAGGTGATCAGTAATTCAAACACTTTCTCTTCAGCCATACAGTTGTGCAAGCTTTTGAAGAACTCTGTATCCTAGAGGATTAGAATTAATAAAGGTGTTGCTTCCATGTTTTACAGAGTTTAAAAATCCATTTTGAAAAAGTATAAAAGCTGTAGCGTAAAGATAACCAAGGTTATTTTTTAACTTGATTGGTCAGTCCTCCAGCATCTGAACATAATCGCATTAAATAATAAGACGATGACATCCTGCTCATAACCACTGTAACAGCAGACATGCATGTCCCTGTGCATTTCAGTAGAAAACAGTTAATCTAAGCCACAACTGAAGTAATGGTATTACTTTGTAATGAAATGTGCAGTCAATTAGCAGCTAATATATAGTAGCTTGAACAGCTCAAACCTCATTACAGAAATTAGGGTCTGCATCCTAAATAAACAAACGATGATAACATTTTTTTAAATTGTTTCTAGCGACTAAAAACTATAATGCATATTTCTGTGTTTTAGTGTATTAAAGCCAAAACTCTAGCATCTAGTATTTTAGGTGATACTTAAAAGAGCATAAAAAAACCCCTATTCCTATCCATCAAGCTAAGAGAGGGGAAAAACACCATTGCTAAGCTAAAATCTTACTACATTTGGAAAAGCAACAAAAAAGCAAAACTGCAATATATGAGGAGGCAGATCTTCAAGACAGATCTTTAGAATAAACGTACAAACTTAATCCAAAATTTTCCAAAACAAGAATTTTTAAATGCTATCCCAATAAGCATAAATATTATTCTTATTGGGAAGTAAAGAGCACTGAGCATTTACTGGGCGTTATTACTGCTTAAGTCTTTTTGATTGTGGATCAATTCTATAAGCTTAGTTTTAGGTTCTGATTTTTGGAATCTAATCTTTACTCCTTTGTTCCTTCGCTCCTTCAAAACCACAACAAAACACTTGTTTTCATGCACCACGAAATTCAGTATAGAAATTCTGTAAGTTCAAAAGTTGTATTTTGTAGTTCAGCATGTACTTTAAGAATTAACTGGGTATTTCTGACAGGAGGAATCTCAACTATTTTTCCAATGCCTATGCTGCTGCAGTCAGTGCTGTGGACCCAGATGCTGGAAACGGAGAACTCTGCATTAAGGTTCCCTCAGAGTTGTGGAAACATGTTGATGGTAAAGTAAAGAGACCATACCAAACACTTAATTTAAGATGCCGTAGAGTTGTTAGCTGTGAGTTTGCATAGGAAGATAGTGGATTTAAATAAATAGAAATAGCGTTACATTATGAAATGGTGGTTACTGCTTCCTTTTTCCTCACCTATATTTTTCTAGTCAAAGTCTGAAAAAATACCTTCACGCTTCTTGGTAATATGGAGAAGTGGTTGCAAGGTTTCTCAACACCCTTTACAAACAAGCTCTTGGGTGGTCATGAGCCAGAACTATACATGAGGATGTGGGTGTAATGGATTATATTGGGTGCTAAATTGTAACTGTTTGAAGCTGCTTGCAATATGTATGAGCCAACAAAGAAAAGAATTTACAAGGAGATATGCCTCTCTGCGTGTTGTTTAAAAAGCTACATTAATTTTTTCCCATCTCACTTTGAAGAATGCTTGGTTTAAAACTGATTCGATAGTGAAAAATAGACTACTTCATAAACTGGCATACTAGATTGTGGAACAAGTAACTTTTTTAATAAATTACCCTCCAACATTGGTTATTTTCTTACATGGATTTTATTAGGTTCTTGTATTTGTTTTCATATATGGTTTTATCAGTTTTTCCCATGGATTTGTGAGACCTGTGAGAGAAAAAACAACTATATCATGAAGCTGACTCAGTGTTGTCAGATACACCTTAATGGAAAAGACACTTTTGTTTATTTTAAATTTTGTTTAAGTTCCTGTTGTGTTACTTGCAAGCCTAGAAGGGAAAATATTCAAACAGGTATAATTTTTTCTTTTCAAAGTCTGAATGCCAAAATGACTTGTTGGATAAATTTCACATATGCCTGAATTTCTGTTCTTGCCAGCCTATTCATAGGTGAGATTTCTGTGAAACTAAACCAAAGCAAAGACACTTCAGTTACAGGAAAAGCTTTAACTATAATAAGAGGTTTTAAGAAACTGCAAATGGCAATAACATGTCTTTTAAGAATGTGCCTGTTACACGCAGTTTTTGTAGAAAATTTCAGCAGGGTTCAAAGGAGATCATGGTTATGGTACAAGCACTGTATAAAGGTTCTTTACTATTGGGGATTTGGAAGATGAAATGTAACTCCAACTGCAGTTTTTATTAATCAATAAAGATTCTTATAAATTAACATCCTGTAAGTTCTGCTTAAGAGGTCTCAGTTTTGTAAGCTTTTGAGCTGCGCTTTGTAAGCAGATGTGGAGATCCATGGGAACAAATTAAACACATAATCTTGAAAGACCAAGAGTCCAAAACTGAATGATTATTCTGAAATAACTTTCATAGAAGTTGTATATATTTACTCTAACTTTGGTCTTGATATGCTGCAGAGTTAAAAGTCCTGAAGGTGCATATAAACTTTTCTCTGGACCAGCCAAAAGGAGGCCTTCATTTTGTGGTACCCAACATGGAGGGCAGCATGGCAGAAAGAGGGGCTCATGTCTTTTCATGTGGTTATCAAAATTCTACAAGGTAAGAAAACTACCTTTTGAATGTTAGACTGGATTTCCTATTTAATCTCAGTGTAGGAAATTATTTGTTTGAATTCTTGTAAGTTTGAAAAATTCTAAGACTTAATTTGTGTTTGAAAGGAGCTTACCTATGTGAAGTAGCATCTAATGATTAGTGATTAGGATTTCTAGTCTTTATAGCTCCGCAGGAGGTAATGTCAAAGAAACTTGTAGTGCTTTATAAAATTAATGTGTAGTAGGAGTCAGTATGTCAACATTCAAAGTATTTAAGATTATAGTTTGGAACTTGAGAGAAAAATCATCTCTGAGAGAGATAGTATAATTGTTAAGTATAACTGTTAACCATTTTTTTCCCCCCAATCCTAACTTCCCTAGATTTTGGTTTCCTTGTGTTGATTCATATTCTGAGTTGTGTACCTGGAAACTTGAGTATACTGTAGATGCTGCAATGGTGGCTGTTTCGAATGGCGATTTGGTGGAAACTGTATATACCCACGATATGAGAAAGAAGACTTTTCATTACATGCTGACTATTCCAACAGCAGCTTCTAACATCTCCTTGGCGATAGGACCTTTTGAAATACTTGTTGATCCATACATGCATGAGGTAATAATCTTCATAGAGGCCTCTGGTTTTTTTTGTTTTTTTAAAGAGCTAGTGGCTATTTTTATGTTGCAACCAGTATAAGTTGGTCAAATATGAGTATGTCTAGACATGGCCGCCATTAGTACATATATGATAAAACTTGTCTCGTAATGCTTGTATTTAAATTTATCTCCAAAGTAAAGCCTTGAATGAGCAATAATTCCATTTATGCCTGAATTTATGGGGCTAATTTGATTGGAGTTGGTAACACCATGTTTCTCAAAATAGCTTTAAACCCATCCTGTTACTGCTAGTAGGTGAAAATTATTGCTACACAATTGAGTAGTCTTCTAAACTAAATTTGACATTGGGTTTTCACTCTTGATAGATTGTTGCCATAATGTTGAAGTCCACCAGTTTATTACTTACATGTGTCGTTTCAGATTGGGTAAGGGTGGATTTGGCAGGCAGTTGACGTTACCAGTTCAGCATAAAGACTGGCTTGTATATTCTTTTGTAAGCATGATAGGAAAATACTGCGAAATAGCTATGTTTTACTTAATCCAAAGCCAAACATCAGATTTTACTCATCAACAATGATACTCTGTTGACTTTTACTGGTTGACTGGTTGGACATACTCGCTTGTGAAAGGTAATAGCTGTTAAAAAAAAAAAAAAAAAAGAAAATCAGTTGTTGATATTTGAAAAATCCAAACTGATAAATTTCTGTAGAGCTTGACTTCTATAGAGCTGACTTAAAGATATATATCATTCTCAGCTTGGTTTCTGTGTCACTGCTGAATTCAGCATCACTGGCTGCATCATAAGTTTACGGAAAAAACAGTGATATCAAAGGTTACTTGTAGTTTTAGCTGTAAAAAATCTTCTAAACAGTAACACTACTTGACTGATTTGAAAATAGCTAATTCTTTACTGCATAAAAGAAAAATATTATTTCCAAACGACACTGGATTGCAAAATCAAAGAAAAATGTCATGTGTTTTTAAATGATAGACATCACTAGGTAGACATTTTTATTGTGCATTGTCTACTAAAAATTATTTTCCTGTTGTTGCTTTCAGTTAAGAGGGACATCCTGGTGCGCTTTTCTGACGTGATAGTCATTATCACAGCTTGAAAATCCTTTTTTCTGTTAAATTTACAACAGCTCTATTTTTGTTGTGTTGTGGGGTTTTTTTGTAATATACTTGATGTTTATGGATTTAAATCTACTCATCAGTCTTGTACCGAATTTTCCTTTGATTGTAGGTGACTCACTTCTGCTTACCACAACTACTTCCATTGCTCAAACATACCACCTCATATCTTCACGAGGTGTTTGAGTTTTATGAAGAGATTCTTACCTGCCGTTATCCATACTCCTGTTTCAAAACTGTTTTTATAGATGAAGCTTATGTTGAAGTAGCCGCTTATGCATCCATGAGTATTTTCAGGTTAGTATTTGAGAAAATTACACCTTTTAAATCCACAGGCTTAGAAGCTCTAGATCAAGACTACTGAGAAATATGTGAAGCTTTTAGTATTTTTATAGCCTGAGTTTTGGGCTCTCTCGTTTGAAAAGGCTGGCTTGTGTTAACATTACAGGCTTTTAACACCATTTCCAATTTTATCTGTTACAAAGATGTTGGATTTGTATCTTCTTTAAGAAAATATGGGCAGAGGTTTTCTTCTGAATTAGAGACACCATGCATGAAATATTTAAGATCAAATTACGTGCAGATATTTGATTATGTATTATTTTTGTCAGTTGGGGTAGGGTACCAGGAGTCCAAAAGAGTTTTGCCAGTTAAAAGAAACTACTTTGGCTTTACACTTTTTATACAGATTATAGTAGCAGGAGATCTGCCTGGATTAAAGGTATTAAAAAAAAAAAAATGTTACTGTCTCATTGAAAAACCAGTGAAGGAATTATTTTTTTATTATTATTATTTTTTAAGCAAGGTCTCTACTTTGTTTCTTTGGAGCTTATGCTCATGTTGTGTTATTTTCTTTTTATGGGGGTCCAGCACAAATCTCTTACACAGCGCAATGATTATAGATGAAACTCCACTGACAAGGAGGTGCTTAGCACAGGCCCTGGCCCAGCAATTCTTTGGATGTTTTATATCAAGAATGTCCTGGTAAGTATTTTACTGTTGTACTCTCTAGAAAATGGTGTAAATCTAGGCAATCAAATTTTAGTTTGCATGTTGCATTTTATCAGAAGAATAAGTGAAATAGTAACTGTAGAAGAATGCAAAAAACAAAAAAGCCAAAAAGTGCCGCTCAATATATGAAAATCCATGAGAATTTTTGTTTGAAAGGAGAATGTGAGATATAAAGGTTCCAAAGACTGCAGAGATTGAACATGTCTGCTCTCAGAGATTATTGGTACTTGAGTATTGTACTGTGCTTTGGCACCTGGAAATTTACAGAATCACACAGAATCACAGAATCAC